AGTGGTAGGTTAATGATTGGACTGGATGATCTTAAAGGTCTCTTCCAACCTTAACGATTCTATGATTCTATAACAGTGAAAGCATGAATGGCAATTTGAAGCTACCACAACCACAAATGACTTCTTCAGTCACTACAGGGATACTGACAGCACTGTTAAGCAGATGCCCCACAGCTCTATCAACCAGGCTCTCCCTCACCACAGCCTTGCCACTCACTCACTAAAAAACAACAGGACTCTGCATACTGGTACCCAGAACAGTCCCCACTACTGTTTGAAATCTAAGCAGCTGTCATATTTGGAAGTTACTTCACTACAGGCAAATAAAGAACAAAACCCCTAAATACCAACCCAGAAACTTACCACATGGCAAGACAATAACACCAGATCTGGCTCGCCCATTTCCAAACATCTTCCGTAGGCTTTTCTCTTGATAGGGCCTGAGAACAGCTGTAGGTTTCAGATCTATATTAATATCGGGATTCACGGAATCATTTCTGAAATCATATTCTGCCAGCAAGGGGTACTCCAAATGGATACAACGCTTTTGAAGTTCTTCAATCATCTCCTGAAGAGAAAACAAAGCTTCAGATGGTAAATTCTCCATGTCTGAATTAATTCTTTTTTTTTCCCCAAACAACTAGATTATATAGTACCATGTGCAGTTACATTTATCTTTTATGCTCATGAAGTCTGCGAGAGTTAAAGTTCATTCCAGAAACTTTATTCATGACCACCTCTGCCCAACTCAAACATTTTAAATAACAGTCAACACTAGAAAGGGCTATTTAGACAGATGGAAGAACATGATGCATTAATCTCAGATGTGTTGTTTATCTGGCAGTGACTAAAATACATCCTGAAGTCCTGTAACAAAGAGCTCAATAACAGACACAAAAGGTTCTCTGTGTTACACAGAAGGACCGGCCAAAGCTGCACATCTGTTATGAGGAAAATCTTCATACCCTGGTAATGCAGTTATTCCACCACAGTGACAGGTTAACTCAATCACCAAAAGGTTGTTGGTTTGGTTTGGTTTTTTTAAAAATAAACAAAGTATCTACTAAGTTATCTTTTTTAAAAATGTCATTTTTTCCCAGTAAGACATCATTAGAATCACCGAGTTTTAGAGTCCAAAAACACCTTGAGAAATTTTACAAAAGGTCTCTGAAGATCAAGTCAGGCCTGTGCTCCAACCTCCAGCTACCCTTCTCAAGCTATGAAATCAGAACCATCAAGAGTTTCTTCCGCAAATATGAATCACAAAACAAAAACTGAAAAACAACCCCCAACGCAACCCAAAATGAACTACATCTTGCGGGCAGGGAAGGAACAATACCCAGCCTGCTGCCCTCTGTACTGAAGAGGAAGATCCTAAGATTTTGGAAGGCAAAAGGAAAGAAATGTTAATGACTTCCAGTGATCTCCCCTATCAAAGGGCCACAGTACTTTACATTAAGTTCTCACGCTTATTTGCAAGTCCTGGGCACACTTCGCAAAGCTGCAAATGCAGAGACGAAAATACTCATACCTGCTTGACTTCAAAAGATACTGTCTGTGTTTCCTCCTCCTCCTCCTCATCTTTGTCCATCTGTTCATAAAACTCAAATAAGTCAGCTGGGACATCAGGCTTATTCTGAGCATCTGTTCCCTGTGATGTTGAAGGACCAAAGCCACCTTCACTGGATTTGGAAATCTGAAATAGATGGACAGCAATTTTCACCAAAGGTTACGTGAGAGACACCTCCCCACCCACCCACTAAATTTGGGCTCATTAAGGAGGCACAGATCATTGCTGACAGAACTGAAAGCAAATGCCGATACAACAAACAAACAATAATCACTTCAAACTACTCAACAGTTTATCTAATTCAATCATTTTAAAACATGCCCAAACATACCGCTGATTTACTCGTGAATGTCTCTGTAATGAGCTCTGTTTCTTCACCCTCAGCATTTCTTAGGCGACAGTCTCTAATAACATGATCTTGCAGAAGCTGCTGAATGACATCAGGGTGGGTACTTTCCACAAAATACCTAAAATTAAAGAACAAAGAAAAATGTTTTTATGAACTAATCAACTGAATAACTGACAGGAAGAGTGGCATAGATACCTAAATATATAGCTATCCCAGATGCACTCTCAGGTATCCCATCTTGGGGGTGGTAATTTAAAAATAAAGAAATTATGGCAATAAAAAATTTTAAAATATGCCTCATACCAAAAGCATGATGTACTTTGCCATTATCCACCTTACTCAAATGTTCTCTAAAATAACATGAGTGAGGAAAGTCCAGCAGAACTGCCTAGAGAGAGCTCTCGCATACATGTCTTATTTGCGACATGTGACACAACTCAATTCTTTTGAGACTGAATTGAGCCAAGTCTGTGAAAACACGGGATGTGGTGTTTTAATGTCCTGCCCACAGGACCAAAAAAGCCCTAAAGACAAAAACCCAAAAACTCCAAAACACAAACCATCTAAAAAATTAAATTAGTGCATCCTGAAATTTTTACCCCCCCTGGAGATTCATCAGTAATGATGCTGGTTGGAGATCACAGTTAAAATGTGAGCCAAGAGAGACTTAAGTCTGAACTGGCACGGGAGAAATCTTTTCCTCAGAAATGCTTAGGAAGAGGACAAAAACCTGCTAGTAATACGAGCGTTAGTTTTATCCCAAGCAGCAGGTTCAAAAAAGCAGCAGCACAAGCAGAGCATTATAGTCCCAGGGCTTCTCTATGGCTGTCAGACAAGAGAGAACTTTGCAGAAGAAATAAAAGGAGAAAGTGAAAACACAGGCAAGGTGCAGACATAGGCTTCAGGTTTCTGCTGTCTCTCCCTACCGCAGAATCACAGGTTTATATAAAATCGGTCAGCTCTAAACTGGCTGACCTCTCAAGGCCCCTTCCAATGCTATCTTCTACGATTAAAACAAATCAGATTCAACCCACCAACAAGCACACCCCTCTTGCTGATGGATTTGCTTATCCTTCCTGAATGATGGATTACAAGTCAGAATACACGAGACTGAAGGACAGCTGTAGAAAAACTTGTCTAACAAGGCCTATATCAATTAGGAAGAAATGAATGAAACAATTATCTGAAAGCCTTAAGGATATGTTGGAAGTCCAAGCAATAAAGAAACAAGCTAGAATAGCTAATTAGCAACCTACTTTTAAAAATGTAATGATAACCATGAGTAGCTCGGGACACCAAACTGAGTTAATTGACTAATGTATTAAACACTTTCAACAACTGAAAAAGCAGTCTTGTGTTGGTAGATGCTACACTCAGCTGGGAGCTATAAGACTCAACAGCTACTGAGACCACTCATCTATGCCCAGCTGGGCATTTGGAGGCTGTCCTCTGCCACGCTAGTTAAGGAAGAAGCCACTTACCTGTTATGTTTCAGTACCAGCTTCACCTTCCCATAGCTGACGGTACACAGCTACAAACGAACAAGAGCAATCATTAGGAATATGCAAAAGACTGATTCTACGTTTGGGACCAAATGCTGCAATGCAGTTTGGGTCTTTGTAGGGAAGCAGGGTACCACAAAACATTTTCTTGCAATGTTATTATGCTTATAGAATAAACCTGAAAAGGTATTTTCAGAAGACGCACGCATTAGCTTACGCAGGAGATCAAGTCACACATATCCGGTTTTTATACCCGACTCCAATCTGCTTCCCAGGCTGCAAGAACATACTTGCAGGATAAGGTAACCTATGTTTTATAGTGCCTGGCTATTCCAGACTGCTTCCCACATTCAGAGTCTTCTTCCAGAGCAAATCTCAGGAAACTTTCCCCACGTAAAATTCCTACTGGCTGAAAAGTGTGCACACACACTTTGGTATACTTTTTCCTTTTTTAAAAACCATAAACTGCACCCAGGATATATTGTGGAAATAGTATTTGTCCAATAATTTACTATAGAAAAAAGACCAAAAAAAAAAGAATCCTCTGTTCTCTTGAAACAGCAACAGAATAGAACAAGATGATAAAACCAATGAATTAACGATTAAAAAAAAGTCAATTAAGCATAGGCAGCAGGAAAGGCTTTCACTAGTAGCACTAAATCTACTTCCAATACCAATAAAATATTCTTACCTTGATAAACTGAATTATTCCATCTGGAACACCAGTCTTGCTCAGTTTTTGTAAATACTCTGTGATGTCACTCGTTTGTAAGCCAACACTAACAGCAGCATACAGTGAGTAAGCAGTCAGCTTGTACTCGTGAATATGGGTTGGTCTGCACACAGGCTCAGCAATGGCAACCAAGAAATCCTGCGCGTATTTGTAAACTGGAGAAAAGGCTTCCAGAAAAATATGGCCATCGGGAGCCTACAGAAATAAAAAGAAACGCTGAAGGCGTAACAGTGTTAGCTGAACAGAATCAGGAATTTCCTATAAAGCAGCCACTATGACACAGAGACAGTACACTGTTTAGGTAGTAACGCATCATACCGTTTCAAAAAACAGTGTTTGCCCTAACAACAAAGTTTCAAGAAAAAGAAGAAAGGAGACACAGGAACATACAACTTTTGTCTTCTGAAAGGGTCGACATTGATTTGTCAATGTCCCTTCTATGGCACTAAGAATAAACCACACCCAGATCAATTAAGCTTTTACAGACTGATACACTGGCGTATTTTTTTTTCTTTTTTAATGCTAAGCAAATTGCTTGAGCAAGCTTCAGTCCCATTCCCCTGAAACCAAACAAAATTCCTCACTCATTTTGCACAGAATGAACGGAGGAGGAGAGATGGCACTTGTGTGTCACAGCACTCAGTAACACACGCCCCGCAGACGCTGGCAGAGCAACCACCTCTTGTCTATACACCTGTCCCGCTAGCCGTGTCTTGGGCAGGTTTATTGGCGTCCCTTTCAGGGCAGAGAAGACAAACGGTACCAGTTACATGTCCCTTTCAGGGCAGAGAAGACAAACGGTACCAGTTACAGAAGATGAGACCAGGCTGTCTGAAGGCCGTCTCATTCCAACATACAAACCCTGCGGCTCTGTCACTGCAACAACAGAGCCCGCTTGTGTCACTGGCCAGCGCAG